TTTTGAAGCGATATCCATACAACCTTTTTCATCACTTTTCAAACTTGCCTCAAAATCATGATCCCTCTAAAGCTCATTCATTTGTGTTCCTATAAATATACCCTTCTTTATTTTCGCCTTCAATGATCTTTAGGAATGTTTTGTTTAATACGGGAAACCTAGCCCATTTTTATCCATCTCCTTCACAAATCAATCCGAGTTTGGTGTGCAAGAGAGGAGGATATGCGTGTGCAGCGAGAGGTAGCAAAGTTATATTTTTGTCCAGGAATGAGTTGTTGAGGTCTGTGCTTCTTCACAAAATGATTTTTGCGATCTCCGCTATCCCACTAGCATACAAAACAGCACTAGCATACAAAATTTAGAATACCCTTGTTGGAGACCTAACGAAACTGCGATTACTTTCAAATAGCCGTGTACATTCCATGAATATTGCTGGTATTGAATCTTAAATAACAAAAGCTTCAAAATACCAGTCAACTCTTCCATAAGGGCTGCACAGGCCAGAGAGAGCTTGTTTCTCATTTCCGATATGAATAAACCTGACTTTTAAACTGAGTATAGAGGAATCTATAAACAACCTTCAATTTTTAGTATCATGATGGTCTCCCAAAGCACTCAGCTGCATCAATATCAGTACAATTCATTACATTGCCTTCTTCTGAGAACAGGCATCGGAGATTTTGTTCGCGTCGGCAGGAACTGTAGTTCCCTTCTGAAGGAGGATCTAACTCTTTAATCGAGACGCTGCCTGATGTGCTTCATTCTTGAATAGAAGCCTTACGTGGCGAGACTCGGGCCATTAAGCCCGCTCTTCCATCTGACCACGCAAATTTCGCTACGCTTCTTTCGCCCACTTAGCGAAGAAAGGAGGTACCGCTCGAGCGACGAAACTAGCGATTTAAATTTAGCTCAGAGGCTTCATTTAGGCTTGAGGATCTTTTATGCACAATCATTACATTTCCAATCTACTAACTTTTACTTCGCCTCCGAAGGAAAGCATACGAAGGTTTTTTCGCCCCTAAAACCACGGCTTCGATCGGGTTAGAAGCCGCGAACTTGGGTATAACAGTCCGATAGGCTAACCGTTACACCATCGCCGCCGCTACGCAAGTTCCCAGAACTTCCGGTTAATGAAAAAATGTCACAGTTGCTTCGTTCACGATTGACTCAAATTTCACTAACAATTCTATAAAAATTGCATTTTCACAATATTGTTAGTGAACTTAGAATCAGCTTTTCAGAAAACAATAGTTAAACTCGTATGCTTTACCAAATGTTATTATTTAAAATTATGCGACATTAGGTGTTGTGGTGCGTTATCGTTGGCATTTCTAATGGAATAATTATATGCGTCGTCATTGCCAACAATATTAATAATGTTAATGCTAATATTGTTGGCAATGACGACGCATATAATTATTTCATTATGCGACATTGCTACTCCTTGTAGCCGCTGCTATCAAGATTTTGGCCATCATTCATATTTCGTGGAGTTCAATTACCAATGTGCAGTGTAACCTTGTTAATCCTGCGGAAAATTATACAAAAGAGCCTTAAACGGGGTTTGTGTATACTGAGAAAGACATGAGAGAAATTTTCGGACACGGAGAGCAGAGTTCATAGCATCTGCCACGCTTATGCGTCTGATCTACCCTTTGCTAGTGAGAAAAATATATAGTTCCATTAAAAAATCAAAGATGAATTAAAGGGTAGGCTTCCAGGCAGGAGTCATTAGCTACACGGCTGTCCGGAAGACGCCGGGGCACAGGTGCCAACGTTTCGGTAGTCTTTCGGCGACCTTCCTCAGGGCGAAATGCGCGAAGGTAGGAACGACATGCAGGGGGGAACCTAACCCTACATTAATTCGTGCGCTGACCATCTATGTGTATTTCACCCTGAGAATAGTCGCAAAATGTATTATTTTCTGCTTTCTGTTTTTTTCCTGCTCTTATAACACACTTTTTAATATTATTTCTAATAAGGAAGCTGACGCATCGTCCACGGAAAACCTTCATTAAATTTTTCCTGCATCTTTTGTGATCCAATTCTTGAAAAAGAATGTAGTACGCTTCTAATTTAAATTCTAATTCCATATTGGTCTCTCACACGTTTTCTGACACTCCAGCACAACAAGAAGATGGAGTCGAACTTGAAAATCAGAGGATATTGTTTATTTACAGTAGAAGACAGACACCCTTGGGGACGTCCCTCGGCTACACGAAATGGATGTCAGGAAAGCGAAAGTCCGGGACTCTGTTGACCCGACCGGGACACTTGTATTTCTTCTGATATTGGTCGACACCGGAACAGTATCCCCTGTCCTTTAAGTAAACACCTCTTACATGTTATATAAAATATAATAAATTTCTGATAGGGATTTACTAACTGAATTTATTTAATGATGGATGGGAGGTAGGAGTGCGACATCGATGTTGATGTTTTAAACATCCGTATATTAAAGTCGATATTTTGTAACATCTATGTTTCGGCTTGATGTTTTCATGTCTCTGGTTGTTTAGTTTTCAGTTGAAAAATTCTATTAATAACTATTTTGTAAAAGTTTAAATATGACATAACTGATGGTACCACTGTCAGTTTATGTGATCGAACGCTGTTTATTCTATCTTTATCGAGAAGACTATCTCAGAGACTATCTGTCCGCGAGGAATGACCCCGACACTTTGGTACTTCCTTCGTCTTCCCGTGTACTTCGCACATGGGGAGGTGTCAACACTTGCGCCATGGGCGTAGGGCCTCCCCATACCCTTCTCTGCGAACTGAAGGCTGGCTCTTTAGACAGAGGCCTGGGAACTGGCGGCCATCGGCCCTGGGACTTTTGCCACTCGATCATTCGCCCTTATAACGCCCTTTGTGTGTAAATAACTATTATATCTATGGTTTACTATCATACGTGTGTTACATGATGAGCATTTTTATTACGACTTAATCAACAATTCACGCAAAACAAAATAATTTTTATCGGCCATGATTTCCTATCCATGCCTTGCATAGAGGAGTTACTCTTAAGGGGCCAGATTGACAGATCGGGAAACAAATAAACGTCTTGTAGGGCGATGGCATAGCTAGAAGTAGTGATGAAGCCATTTACAAATGAGATAACTGTAAAAGAACGTACTGGCAAATTTAGTGCTTAAACATAACCTGTAGCTATGTTGCCAGCAGTGGCAAAGCAATCCCTTCTATTGTAATCTTTCTATAATACTCTGCCAATCCAGACTTGTTTGCGAAACCACGTAAAGAGTTCAGAAGTTTCTTGAATTCATTTTGTTTCCCTCGTCGTGTCTTTTTTCGATCGAATTTCATAATTAGACCAAATTCATGACCGAATTAAAATAAATAATTCTTACTATTGAAACTATTTATGATAATTATGTAATGTATACATTACTTTCAAAGCAATATATACTTTAATTAATAAAGAGATAAAAAGAAACCATTTTTTGCGTCGTTCTACTTGTATAACACGTTTCCAACTAGAAATAGTTTAAATTTAAACGCGATATGTAAAAAAAAATGATTTTTTTCCAGTCGTGTTCAAAAGTATTGCGTTTACCCAAATTAATATTTTATTTACAATAACTCGGAAAGTTCGTTACAGTTTTTCACAACCAAACACTCTTCCTTTCTGGTTTGACATTGCAAATTTTTACTGCGTAAAGAAAAGATCACTTATCAATAAGCAAAAAATAGATTATTGACTTATTGTATCCTGCATTAGTGCAATAGAAATATGAATCTAAAACTACGTTAATAATTACTATACAAAATAAGATCTCACCGAAAATGTCATTTTGAAGCATATTAATATTTTTAATAGAACTTATTATCCCAAGGGCTACATACGTGGCATAAGCGGTGGCAACGGCAACCAACCACGGCCGAAAAGCTGAAAAATAATGACCTTTTCGAAGACCTTCCTCATCTCTGAAGCAGCCCTTTTTGCCGAACGACTGGCAACTAATGAATGGAATTTTCAACCCTCCCCCGAATCTGTTCTTTTTCCGTTCTCGCCTACTAAATACTTGTATTTTCTGTATATACTATTGTGTATTTTATTAATGTGTTAAAGATTGTGAATGAATGTTTTTATTCAGTCTGATTATGTCAAACATACGTCGAAACGTTGTGAAACAATTGGTTCAAGAGTGTAAATAAATGAATCTGCATTATATATGAGATGTATGAAATTGGTGTCTATAACCTAAGATTGAAGCGGTCTAAATTATCGAAATCCATACTTACGTTGTCAGAGAAGATATAGTAATGTTGCAGCGAAAATAGCGACGTTTCGACAGAAAAACTTGTATTGTGCGCCCTAATACTGAAAAAGTATATTATTCTTGACAACATAGTGATAAATGTCTTCCTTTAATACGTTTTAAAGACAGTATCCACGTTTTCTGTGTCTGCGATACTGAAAAATTGGTATTCGGCAAAATTGTGTAACACTGTTTGCATCCGTCCATCCGTCTGTGGACAACACTAGCACGATTTTCTCCAAAATTGATATTCTCTTATCGATCTTGCCGAAATCGAAGCAGAAGGAATTTCATGCGGGAATTTAATTTTTGAGGGATACTTTACATGAAACCTCAACGCCCACTTTCTCGAAAATGACTCCAATTTCTTTCTTTATTTTTTCTCAAATAGAGCAACGCACGCTTATGAAAGGTACTTTCGGGGCAGGTCCAATTTTCGTTGATCTCTCTTTAAATGTTCCAAACGTTCAAAAGTGTGGACATTTTGTCGGCGTCTTCTAAAAGTGCAATATTGAAGATAGATATTTTTCTCTTAATAAAATATATTCTTCAATATACATATTTAAATGATGAATGTGCTTTAAAAAACGAGTTATTTTTGCGTGATTTTGAGAGACATGCGAGGACGTGTGTGGAGTTGTGGCCGCACCAACCAACAAGGTTAGTGGTTGCTGGCGTGAGTGGTTGCTGCAAGCGCGGGCGCTGCCGGCTCTGTTGCAGCGGGCGGCCTGGGCTGGACGTTCGTGCACCTGTCGCTGAACTCCTCCACCAACATGCTGCGTCTGCAGCTGGACTGCCAGCCGGCCCGCGAGCAACCCGTGGCCGGCAGCGGCGGGCGGGGCGGCGCCCGCGCGCTGCCCGGCGGCCTCGTGCCGCACATGCACGTGCCCGACGACGCGCTCGTCTACTTCCGCCAAGAGCCCGGATTCAAGAAGAAGTTCCTGGTGAGTACACACTCTCTCCCTCGTTCTCCTCATCTTGCTCTTCGTCCTAATATTCCTTTTCCTCCTCTTCCTTTTTTTCGTACCTAGAGCTCTCAGAGTTAGAGCCGCGAGGTGGCGTGGCGGATTTTCGACACCAGCTGCATAGCTGGTGAATTCAACAAGTCTCTGGAGGAGAATTGTAGTGGGCATCCACCTTCATTGGTAGTTTTATGTCATTTCTCTGATCTGCCGAAAGCCGACCCATAATAAGCGAGCCACATTTGCCTGCGCAGAATTTTTCTTCCTCGCCCTTGGGCCCACCTCTTCGTCTCCCTTTACAACACACACACAAACACACACACGTATCTCTACCATACATGTTGGGAGACCAGTTGAATGTTTAGAGGTTGTCCCGGCTGGGGCGTTACACCCTAGGGAGATACCTGGAAAGGGAAACGAGAACGTCGGTATGTAGGTTGGCGAGGATCTCACGTTACAGCGGGGGAAGAGTACTGCCACATCTGGGGATGTAGTATGCACTCCACTCACATGACTAATGACCACAGGAGATGACGCTTCCAAAAACACTAATTAATCAACAATGTTTTTGCGAATTTGAAATACTCCCATTGTCAGATGTTAGGACAATGATGCGATTTGCAAGCCCCACCCCGTCACCGCTGCCCCGGGAACCAGCAACTGGGTTCAAATGTACACAATTTCCCCACATATTCAGCTAGTACTGTATTTTACGTAACCCATATTTAAGAATATCCTATTGTAGCTCAACGTATTTAGAACGTACGTTTTTCTTCAAATAATGTTCATTCGAGCTTAATTGTGGAATATAACGCGCTCAGTAGAAATGATTTCGAATCATCTGAATAAAATTACCAAAGAATGGATTGGGGGATGGATATGGCCGTCGTTGCCCCTCCATTCTCGGATCCGCTACATGTTCCAGGGTCCTTAAAATATGATGGTGTGTCGTAGAAGTGTGCCGCCTGGGATTGGTACTAGTGTTTGACAGCCACCTGCAATTGCGTCAATGTGATTCGCGCAATGCCCACCGGACAGGAATTTCTTGAGATGTAAGAAAATACGGAGATTCCGGGGGGGGGGGGAAGTATAGAGTTAAAGTATTTTGAAACACATTTTCATACGATTCCATTCATCCACTCAGTTCGCAAAAAGATCAAGCTTCGACCGTACAAAACACAAGCGCGCGAATTTCGTATTTTTAATGTTAAGTCTTATTCCAAACATACTATCGAAAAACCAGGTAGCTCATAGCTCAGGGGCATAAACCCCTGTGAAGTGTCCTAAACCCTAGCCCAATCCTATTTCCTTCCCAATTCTGGCCGCTGAGTAGTGGCGCAAGGGCGCGTACGCGGAGATGCTACTTGGCGGTCCTCATGACAACTGCCTGCAACGAGACTTGGCGGTTATGGCGTACACTTAATGGAGGATTACTCCTGCGCTGATATTAATGGAGGATTGCTCTGAAAGCGCAAAGCGCTCAACACCCCCGGGGCTTGAGACACGCTGTGTCAATTGAAGACGCAACCAATTTTTCAAAAAAAATCTTATTCCACTGCAGTATCTCTGTCCGAAAGGTCCTAGATTTCGAGCCCCAACGGCGGGAGGATTTTTGACACTAGCTAGATGGCTAGGACGAATTCAGCCGCTGTCTCTAGGAGAATTCTAGCTGTCGGCTCTTCTGATCGTATGTTTTCCGTTATTTATCCGATCAATAGCAGCCGAATGCCTGTGCAGTACTTTAACCAGCGGGCTTCGGACCACGTACAATCGTTTCTTCCTCGTCCGTGCCCTGTCCTCTCTTCTTTCTTTCACACACACTGACATGCACTGCACTACTACATATGTTGGGAGCTTAAAGATTGTCGCAGCTGGGATGGTACTCCGCTGGTGAAAGATACCTGGATGGGGAAACCCCGCAAGCAGAAGTGTAGGTTGGCGCCGCATCTCACCATATAGCGTGAAAAGAAGAGACCCCCCTCCCGCATGCACTACAATTACGAGAATGATGACCATAGCAGTTGAAACACGAAATAATCATTCAATCTGGACTATTGAAAAATAGGTTGTATAAAACTTTTAGGTTGGTCGTTTACGATATCTATTTTAATCTTTCCTATTTTAATCTTTCCTACTTCAATAAATTTTGTTCCCTGGTTATAAATACCAATTTATTACTAGCGCCCGGATTTTTATGTATTTACATATTTTTATCTTTGTATATTCCGCTATCAAAATTGTGATCTTGGTAATTAATGGCAATCCTAATATATTATCCAAATTGTGGTTACATATTTTTACATATTTTATAGTATATTAAGTATTTTTCATAGTTTTCTTACATTTCACTTATTTTGGAAACCTTTTCATTATTCTACCCATTTCCTTTAAACTTATATTTAAAAAATTGAAAAAAATCGCCTTAATTTTTTAACACAAAATCAGATATGCAAGCTGAGAAGAGAGATCAGAAGTGGTCAGTCTGGGTCAATCTCCTTTTACACTGAGAGTATTACTTATAGGTGCGGAAAGTATCAGCGACGTGTTTCTTTATTTATAGATGTTTTTGCTTTACAGAACATTGGTTGTCTCATAATGACCTAACACACTCGAAATTCCTAGTTTTTACCTTTTATGATCATATTGTAGAGCGAGGAAATCAAATAAGGGTCCTGCTTACGGAGGTTCGTGTATTTACACTAGAAATGATATTGATTATATCTTCTTGTCAGAATTCAATTTATATGCAGTTGAAAAAGTTTTTGAAATTACAATCGCACATATTACTAAGCTCAAAACTACCTTACTTTTTATCTACAGACATCCAACAAAGCAATCTTTAGATAATTTCATTGTCATATAAAATCTACAAATAACTCTGAACAAAATTAGTAATCTATCTTTTAATTTACTGCATTTTTTCATTTTGATATTACAGTGAATGTATCTACACGGAATTCATTTAAATCACAAAAAGCAATAGAACAAATTAAAAATTAAAAAAACACAACTAGATATGAAATAAAACTACTAATCTAGGTTACAGGGACCACGAAGCAGAAATTCTTACAATTACTAATAACATGAACACCGAAACAATAAATATACGCGTGTGCAGAGTGTTCACTAAAGTTAATATAAAAGTTACGGAGTACTTGCTAAAGAAATCATGGGACACATTTTATAACACTGTTGACACAAATGAAAAATATAATATATTTTTCTCAAAGCTTTCATCTCAGTTTAACGCATGCTTTCCTCTCAAAAAGAGAAAATTAAACATTTCACGGAAAAAGAATACATGGATCACACAAGAAACTAATTCCTTCTGTGATCCAAGTATTATTTTTCCGTGAAATGTTTAATTTTCTCATTTAACATCGTGTGAAAACAAACGTACGCTTTACTACATTTCTAAACATCACGCGGTTTCCATGTCTTCTTCCGAGAATACAAAAGAATTTTAAGGAAAGTAATAGTTGAGGCGAAAATAATGAAAAATTATGAGGATATTTTGAACGCTAGTAACGAAACAGTGTGGAATATCGTAAAAAATACGATCACATCATCTCAGTTCTTAGTAAAGAATGTTGTTTTAAAGGATAATGAAAGCGAAGCAAGTAACCCGGAAAATGTGGCAATGATCTCAATCAACACTTTTCTAGAATTGCGGCTTAACTCAAGAAGGGATTAAAAACAAAAAAATCAACATCATTCCTTTCTCAAAAAAATTTCGACACGATGTTTATTTCCGAAACTTCTTTAATGAAATCCTGAGAATACTCAGTAAACTAAAAAATAAATATTGATCTGGTTTAGATGGATTTCCGTATTGTTCATTGAAAACTTGTGTACCTGCCTTTATACACCCCTCAACTCACATTTTAAATGCTTCTTTACGCACAGGAATATATCCAGATATTTTCAATACAGCAAAAATTAAACCAGTTTTTAAAAAAGGGGGGAAAAATTAAATTCAAAATTACCGACCAATTTCTCTTTTGTTAGGTTTCTCAAAAATATTAGTGAGGCTTTTCTATATGCGAATGCAAACTTTTCTCAGGAAAAACGAAGCGTTTACAGACTCACAACGCGTTTTTAGAAAATGAAAGTTAAAAGAAACTGCCATATTTTCTTTTCTTAAAGTTGTTGCTTTATCAATGGACCAAAATGAAGCACCCTTTGGAATATTTTTAGATCTTTTGAAAGTCTGTGACGTTATTGGCCATAACATATTGCTATCAAAATTACCTTCTTATGGAATTCGTGGTATCGCCCTAGATTGGATAATCTCGTACCTTAAACATCGACATCTAAGAGTAGAAATAACGTACTGGCACCAAAGGACGTTATTTACTTATCTTTCCAATTCTTCACCAATTGTATATGGCGTCTCACAAGAGTCGATCTTAGATGTGCCTTGGTCTATTAAAAACGGAAGAACAGTTTTGTTTGCCAATGACACGAATGTTCTTCGCAAAAAAGAAATAATAAATAGTACAATTGCAGAAATTTAAAATTAGTTTTGTATTAATAAAATAATAGTTAACCAAGGAGAAACGGTTTCAATGCATTTTTGCATCTTAAATCAGCAATCGCCAGCTCCACTGAAAATAAACAATATGCAATAAGCTGATATTAAGGTAACACAATTTCTAGGTCTCTCAAGTCGGTCAAACATTAAATGGAATGTATATATAACAGAATTAAACACTATATTAGGTTCATTATATTACGCATTCAGAATTCTTACAAATTCTGTCGGCCTTCACGCAGCTCGTTGCGTGTATTTTGCAAATGTGCATTCCCGCCTGAGATATGGCATAGTATTCTAGGGAAACTCATCATGTAGTACCCAGACCTTTAGATTCCAAAATAAAATTATTCGAATAATGAAAAAATGCCAGACGCCTGATCCCTACAAGCCTCTCTTCATTGAGATTGGAATCTTACCATTGCCTTCCCTATTTATTTACGAATCT